TTATGTGTCCCTAACCATTGATTTACTTGTGAACATCGGTAAAATGGGGGCGGGGTTAGCAAAAAAAAAAAAAAAAAAAAATTATTCTTCTTTGATAGGGTGATCAACTAATATTATTTTTTATGGTTCCTAATACATCTAGATTCCACTAAAACAACAGTACCAGAATACTAGAATTCAAAATGTAAAGAAAAAAAGTAAGCAAAAGGAAAATAGAAATATACAAAAAGTAAAAGGATAAAAAAAGAGGAACAACATGAATATGAATTACAATTGTTAATGTACAGTAATAATAAAAATGCATTGAAAACAGAAAAAAATTAAACTGGAAGGCTAAAGGAAAAAACAGCAGTAGTAACAGTGACGATACTAATACAATGATACAGTGAGTATACCTATTGTTTTGGAAATTATTGATAGATTGGGTAAAAATATGAATTAAATTTCAGCACAGGGACCTAAAGTATATATTTGGACTAATGCATTCAAAATTTCCTTTACACAAATTTAAAACTTTCAACAGCGCTGTGGGAAGGCCATTTCAAGTTCTAATACAAAAATGTATAAAGAAATAAAATAATAACAATTCAGTGCCAATCACAGGTGTTTCCTAAAAGTAGAAAAGGATGAATTATTAAAATGCGAGCCAACACAAATAATAGGGCAGGTTGCTAAAGCTACTTCAGCTAAGCATAACTTCGGTGTAGAATATTATATTATATCAAGTCGTGAATAAGTCCATATCGGAATATCTCCCTCTACTAGCATTAGTGTCTCATTACTGAACCCAAGTAGAGAAGCCAACCAGCTTTTCTTGGAAAGGGATAATGAAAAGCAGGCAGCAAAAGGTGATGGTCAGTTCGCTTATCAAACCACCTTGACCCTTAACCCTTTCACAAGAACTATTACTTCCCAATGGCAAGCAGATGGACATTTATTTCACCTTTGATACAGTTCTTTAAAATTATTTTGTAGTCATTAATTTAATTAGAGTTCATCATAGCTTCTTAATGTAAAGAGGATTACGTCAAAACAACCACAGCCATAAATAGCAGTGTTATTAAATTCTACAATCACATGTCATCAAGACACTGAGGTCATTATATTCTATGAAACATGGGCATAAACTATATAATTTTAATGATTTTTGGCATAACAAAGAGAAATGAAACTCAATTATCATCCCTTATTTTATTACTTTATGAAAACGACAGAAAAAATAGGTACAGTAGTGCCATCAACTGACGTATTTATCGGCTAGAAAACAGCCAGGTTTACCAACATGATCCCTCATTTTATTATTTATTATCAAAATATTGATTATGGAAATATTTATTAATAATATAGTATACTGATAGTATTATAAGATGTAAGATATTTTAACATTTGTGATAGGTGTTGTGTGTTTTAATGAGTGATTGTATCAATATTAGTATATTTTATTTTTAATCTGTGAACAAACAACCTGAATTTCAAACCGTACATTTTACTATGTTTGACAATAAAGATTAAATTGAATTGAATAGAACATACATGATGATTTGCACATCTATCATCACATGTAATTTCCTCATGCAAAAAAGCAAAACAATAAATTTAATAATGGGCAATAGATTTTTAAAAATTCTCTTTCACATTTCTTATCAAAATGAAAAATGTTACTGAATACTACTGTATCATATGTTTTAAAAAATTTTGAAACAATAAATTTTACAAACACTCAATACCAAATGTTAAGTATATATTTCAAAAGCTAACAAATCGGTCATTGTTGTAGATAATGGCTGCACATTATACAGTGTCAGGGGATATAAATGTTAAATTAGCACATACCTTATCTGCCATGCACAGAATAATGTCAATGAATGCATCAACATGTGTATGGTATTGGGTTAGCCTGACGTACAATATGTGACGCAGCCAATTACAAAATGGATAGATCTGGATTTTTAACTTAATACATGATGGATGAAGGCCCAAAACGAAAACATATGCAAGATTAGTGAATAACACTGATCAGAAAATCCTGGGTTCAGATGGGATGATAAGTTACCTCAAACTATAGATCACCTATAAGAGTTTCACTTTAGCAAACCCTGTTAATACTGTTGTGCAAATTATATGATCTGGGTAATGACAACAGATGATGAGGCAGCACTAACTTTAATTTGGTGTTATTTTATTAGACACACTGGCAGTCAATGCCAGTTTCATCAGGTGTTTGAAGTGTAACTAAGCAAACAGACAGAAAATAACTTACGCATACTAATGATCTAGGTAAACATTTTTATACAAACATGGTCATATCGATGGTTTCCACAAAGCACTAACAAAACTGTGTGTCTTTATTGTGTCTTTTCTATTTATGTCTTACAAACATTAATGAGTATAATCACATTAGTATAATTCATTCATGAATGGTATATGGACATGAAGAACATACAAATTAGTGCTATGATTTATAATTATAAGAATTAATGCATATGGCTATGACAATTAAAGGTTACATTATTATTAATCACCATCAATTAAATATCACTAATAATTATATAGTATATGATTATGCCAAATGTAATTTTTTTACGATATAAAAAAGTTGTTTGGAATAGATGAGTTCAGTGTATTCAAATTTCACCAGATAATTAACATCTCGACGAGATTTGATTGACAGATAAACCGACTAATCAGCGAGCGTCATTTAGTCATGTGATCAAAAACTTTTTCTTAGCCATTTTAATTTTCCTTAGACAGCTGGTTGTCAATGCGAAACAATACGTGAGCCTAGGCCTAGATGTCTATGCTTGGTTATAGATACCCAGATTTACACGAGCAGTCCGCATCAGTGACTTGGCCTCTGCCGACAACGAGGTTGACTGAATGCGACTTTTTCCTCTTCCTTTGGGAGCGAAATACAGAGGCTTATACAACGATTTCCCAGCCTGTTCCATGAAATAGATTAACACTATTGAGGTTGATAGCAAAGAAAATGTTCGCCAACTCGGTAAGTCTAGCCGCCATTGTCAAAGTTTTTCGTGACTTTGTGGGTGGGGCTTCGCGTCCTTGTCGACATGTCAATTGTTAATAAAACACTATAATACATAGATTGAACCCACATTAAGAATATGATAGGGATTATTACATATTTTTATAAATTACTATACTAAATGATTCAAAATGAATAGTTTATAGGTGAGGTATTACAAATTATTCAAATTTATTGTAAAACAAAAAAAAATGTAGAATATCCATTAATGTTCCAATGAACCCAAATTGTGCCCTTTGTTCATTGGAAAATTTTTAGGTAAATTTGGTTTGGTTGCTATGGCAACATTGGTGACTTGCACCTTACCTCCTACATTGGATGAAAGAAAATTTGTTATTTTAATAACTTGCTCAGTAAAATTTTCAACCGGTAATACATGATTATGGGTGAGGAAAAAATTCCTAGCAGTGCATGAATTAATGCGGTAGGAGGTAAAAACCAGATTGCAACACCGTGGATTATTTGCATCCATATTGAACGAGGAAATAGTCAGTTGTTTTCATGTTTATTAATTTTTCACAAAGGAGGTCCATGTTAATTAAATCAAGATAATAGGAATTCCTCAGAGAATTTTATTAGGCAAACATTTCTTTTCTTTTCTGATTGGATAGTAAGTATCACAAGTGCTAATTACCATAGGATGCAACTGTTTAATTAACTAGTCTCATTATCAAATAATTAAAAAAAGAAAAAGCGTAGTATTTGCATAATTTTTGGAACAATTGAGCCCAGGATTAGGCCAAAAAAAAAAAAAAAATTTTGTGTTGGCCATGTTTTGGGAAAATCCAAAAAATGCATAGGTTGGTAGGAAAATTTTTTTCCCTTTTTTTTTAACTAAAAATGTGTTTACACTTAAAAAGTAGAAAATACACAAATTACAACAATTTTGAATTCGAATCACGTACCATGCAGCAAAATAGGCTAGGCCTTGGCCCTCTAGCCAGGCCAAAGCTATTCCAGCCTTATTAGCTCATTAAAAAATTGTAAAAAAAAAAAAAAACTAAAATGCCAACCCTGAATTTCGTAAAATTTGGGTTGGTCGGGTGTGGCCAATACAATAATTTTTTTAAAATTTGGCCTTATAAAGCAAGTGCAGCTCTATATTTTCAAATAAACAATAAGGACGCTATGCCACTGGGATTTAAATTTACGCTTTAAAATTCAAGAGTTGTATTGATCATGGTGTAATAATATTTTCACCCTAAAACTGCTCTCTCCCTTTTAAAGCATCTATCTTCAAACAACATCAATAATACCATATGGTCTGCACAATGGGTCATCCTCAATGTTATAAATATTAATAACAAAAACCACTGAGCATGTAACTGTAAGACTGCAAGAGTTGGTTTCAAACATAAACAACCTTTTCAATTCTAATTCATATAATAACTAAATACTATACTTCAAGCATTGTTGAGATTAATGAAGAAGTTAAAAGATAAGAATAGTTTCTACTACTCATATTATTCATTTTATTCTCATTTAATTAATATTAATGAAGATGAAAAAATCTTTCCCATTTGACCTCCTGAATCTTTCTTACAGAATTTGAAGAATATGAATTTAATTAGGAATCTGTAGTAAAAAATGTTTAAAAACGGAAGAAAAACTAAGGCTATATTGTAAGGCAGAATTGTTCCCAAGTATAAAAATTCTATATTGTATCTTTAGCTCCTTGTAGTCCTATAACAACTGAACCTACAAAAATCTTGTAACGCACAAGGCCTATTTTAAACAAAGAAAAATATTCACTTAGATTTCATAATTGGTTAGGGTATTTTAATGGTAGATAGATTATGTAACTAAAACTGTATAATGAGTTTGGTGTTACTTTTTGCTTCACATTCAGTTTTAAAATGACACAGTTTCCATTTTTTTGACATAAAATTATGTCTTTAAATTTTTTAGAACATATTTCTGACAATGGCAGAGTATAAATATTATTGCTGATACTCACCATTTGTGGGATCAACCACTATAATGTGCGTGTTGTTCCAAGTTGCTTTAATATTTGCGATAGGGATATCATCAAAAGGGACGCCATTGAAAACTAGAGATGTACTCAAGTCTGGAATTATCGCTCCAGGTTTCCTGTAACATGAAAAAAAAAAATCATGAAAAAAAATACTCATTCAATGCGAAATTAAACAAAACCTTCATTAATTAACATAGTAACACAAATACTGTAGACCTTTAAAACTGTACTTGGCATTCTATTTATAAGCGCAGAGTTTTGTTTGTGTTACATTTTGTTTGTGAATTTGTATGTATTCTATTTTAGAGATGATAAATCAAATATAAAATTTTCTACATATTTTTTAAATGAGACACAAATCTAAATCAAAAATGACAATTTATGGTGAGCCCGTCTTTATTCCATTTAGAAGCAAGCCTTGAACTTCGTTTGGCTGTGAATAAAAACGCATTATAAATACTATATTATTATTCATGTAGCTTGGTGATGAGCTGTTGCCTTTAAATCTAATAAAAAATAATATTTTAAAAATGCAAAAAGAAATAAATGACATTACTACTCCACAATGGAATTGGAGTTATAAGACGCAATCTACAAATAAACTTCAACGACAGAAACGGGTCAAATACGTTTGCTATTGGTATATGACAATCTCTCCAAATGCGTCTGTGAAATGCCGTTTGGAAGCTTGTCGTTCGAGCCGTTTATTCCGTTTGGAAGTTGACTTCTCCCCATTTCATATGGCTGACTGCTCATGAATGGTAGATGTTGAACGCGTTCAGCAGAATATGGATCCGATCGTGATTTATACAACTTTAAAACGTGTTGAACCTACCTAGGCTTTAGGCCTAGGCCTACACTAGATGACAGATGACAAAGAAATGTTTATAATTAAGGCCCTATAATTTATTCATTTTACTTGTTGGGGAAACCGCAATGTCTCTTATAGTTTTAGTAGGCCCTACCGTACCTGTAGGTTTTCTAAAAAAAAAAAAGCAATCGCCTTCCCACCAAGATTTTATTGGGCGATGTTCAATTCACGCTATCAAAACAAGTACCTCTTGCACAAGTAACTGCACAGCCCGCACAAAAATGGAGCAGCATGTAAACACTGACCTGGATCAGCCGCAGTTGATCTGAAGAAGTTTGTTGATTTTTTATCACGTGGTCGTATCGTCTCGCTTTAGCACGTTTACAGAGTACAACTGTAGGCTACGTCATTATTTGTATTATATGCTGGATGGTTCAAACTCATTAAAATGATTAAACCATCCAGAAATGGTATTCTATTGTTTCACTATTTACTCTTTCAATTTTTTGTTTCTAATGGTTATTTTATGTACATGTACAGTATTTTGTGAATGCATCACTCCATTTCATTTCTTGCCAACGTTTGAGCCTAGACTCGGAAATACCGGAATGGTGTCCGACGGGGGATAGTTTTTTTGTATACCATGTATTCCAAGAGCCTGTAGGCCTATATGTATACAGTATATTTAAAATGTTGTATGGATAAATAAATTGTCAGAATGAAAGAACTGATTACTGTTTTCTGTACACGACATGTTGTTTGTGTTTAGCATAAATTATTACTGAAATACAGTGGTACACATTCAGTTGTATGTTTTATTTATACTTTGACATTAACATAATAAAACTCAATATTATTATTCTTTAACACATAAACAGCTTCTCCACATAATATAACAGTAGGCCTAAGAAATAAAAATATATAAAAGACAAATCATAGCCTTAGAGACTAAAAAATTAAACTATACAAAAGCGATAGGTAAGCAGACAAGGCCTATCTATACTTAATTTTAAATTAAACTGGCATCTAGACACTCCATCGAACGTCCTACTGTTAGCATCTGAACTGACCTACTTTTGTCCAGAGGGGCGCACAAAGCGAATTTGTCACGTGTCATCTTGCATACTCTGCACTGAACACATCCACACATGAGGTACCCAATATAATTGTACAGTAGTTGCCTAGGTCTAGATGCTAAATATATATTATGCCAAGGTTTAATCATAGAGAAAATAGATGTTCTAATTTCTCTCATTTAATAAATGTATGTGTGCAAGGAGTTGAGTGTAGAGATAATTTCTGCGTTTGTCGTCAGCTCCTCAGGTAGGCTGGTAATGAAGATAGGGCTATCCGAAGGACCATGCGGCAATAATGTGCAGTCATCATCATTTACCTCCATAGGGCCTACAAACAATGGGACTAGAATATACTATTAGGACTATGCAGTGTTTAATCTTTGTACAGTACAGTATATACTTGGTTAATTTCCAAGTAAAACTTGTTCAGTATTTTAAATTGTACAAAAACACTAGTTCAACCGGGCCTGGTCCAACGACACAGACGCGTTTGTCATCGAAAACAATAGAAACAATAGCAAACACATAAACGGCAAAACCCCGTTTGGACGTGTCTCCGAAATATTGGCTTAGCTTATTAATATTCATGAAGCACGATAATTAGACGATCGCTTTCCTAGACGTGTTTGTAATAGACAGTTTTTCCAAACACGTTTCGTCGTTGGGGATAACTTGTAGATCGCGCCTAACTTAACGGTTCCATTAAATCTTATAAGAAACTATGAGTAAGTTAATCATACCAATTAATAATAATAATAATAATGTAATATTTATAATAATATCTAGCTCTCTAATAGTCTTTCAGGTACAAGGCAGAATATTCTCAACACTCTTAATGATCAATATATATACCTAAAACATCTAACCAGGGGTGGATTTAGGGAGGGGAACAGGGGTACGTTCCTCGGTTTTGTCGTTGCTGTCTTACAGTTTAACAATAGCATACAAATACTAAATGTTATCATAAAAATATTCATAAGCCTCTAAATAGTACATCAAACACTCAATATATCAAGCCAACCACATGGCAGATGGAACAGAAGTTTGTATTTTCAACAGTAATATTATTTGAATAATAATATAATTGTGAAGTGGGAAACCCAATGGTATTACTGAGCATATAACCAACAGATACTCTGATTACAGAATTCTAAAGGCACAATATCTTTACTGCACAAGAAATATAAAGGAAAAAACTCCAAATAAATGTTACAATGTTTTGAACATTAATGGGCAACTTTCTGAGAGGAAAACAAACAAAAATGCTATAAGATGATGCAAATGAGGAATTAATGGCTAAAATAAACAATGGGTGTTTATTAAAAGACAACTATGCATATTAAGTAGGAAAAAGGTAAATTTACAAACCTGACGAAGCCACTCCGCTACGTAGAAATGGCTTGTACAAACAAAATTTTTTTTTCTTATTGAGTATAGCTTTTGCTTGGTTTTCCAAAAGAAACTTTATTCCGTATTCAGAGTTTATGTTGGTAGAGAGCAATAAATAGCAAAGCTTCTTTGAACAGTAAGTGTAAACAATTAATAACCGCAGGTATTATAATAAATTAGGGATTTGTGATTAACTACTCAAAGAAATGTTACTACTGTGGCCTAGTTCAGACTAGGTGGATAAACCCGGCTCAAATCAGCGGGTTTATCCACCTGCCAGTCTGAACTAGCTGGCTTATCTCAAGCTGGGCTGTGTTCCTATAGTAACTAGAAGGCCTGGCGCGCCACTGGGTTTAACTTTTCTAAGCCGGGCTTTAATCGTTGCGGGGGTCTTGCATTGACTTCTGGGTAACAAAATTACTAATCAGCATTCAATTATGTACGCTGTGAGCGAGCGCACGTTTCGTGAGCAGCAATCTTTTAAAACACGTTTCCTGGTTACGGTTCATTATTATGCAAATTCTTGCCTGGCTAAACCCGCTAGTCTGAACGCCTGGCAAAGTTAAGCTGGGCTTAACGTTGAGCCGGGCTTAACTCAAGCCTGGCTTATCTCAAAGTCTGAACGTAGCCTGTATGGTACTACACTGGTAGGCAATTTGTGACTTCACAAGACTGAGTACAGTATGTAAATTACATGGTTTACCACTATTGGAATGTTGATTTATATTTTTGAATGGTATCCAATATGATATAAATGTCAAATGTTGTTACAGATACTGCATGCACAAGTCCAAGGATTTTATGTTGGCCTACCCAGCTGATTTCTCTGAAAGAAAGTGACACCTTGAGTTGTGTTACAGTAATGATGCAGTACCATTATTGAATGTGGTTAAAAGTTTAAGAAAATGTCTTTACATTCCAAGGATGCAATAGTCATCATTTCAATCAGGTGGAATTTGGCTTTCAAAATAACTGAATTCATCATCAATATCTTCTCGGACTCTGTCTCTTATACACATCTAGATGTGTATAAGAGACAGGTACACATTCAGTTGTATGTTCAAAGTTAAGCTGGGCTTAACGTTGAGCCGGCTTAACTCAAGCCTGGCTTATCTCCAAGTCTGAACGTAGCCTGTATGGTACTACACTGGTAGGCAATTTGTGACTTCACAAGACTCAGTACAGTAAATTACATGGTTTACCACTATTGGAATGTTGATTTATATTTTTGAATGGTATCCAATATGATATAAATGTCAAATGTTGTTACAGATACTGCATGCACAAGTCCAAGGATTTTATGTTGGCCTACCCAGCTGATTTCTCTGAAAGAAAGTGACACCTTGAGTTGTGTTACAGTAATGATGCAGTACCATTATTGAATGTGGTTAAAAGTTTAAGAAAATGTCTTTACATTCCAAGGATGCAATAGTCATCATTTCAATCAGGTGGAATTTGGCTTTCAAAATAACTGAATTCATCATCAATATCTTCTCGGACTAATGAAAGGAAAGAGGTGAAGAAAGCGAACCAAGTACACAGCTACTTATAAGCCGCCTCCAAGCTAATGTTCATGTTTTTCCCTTGTTACTTTTTCATGATTAAAGTCATTTCAACACTGAAAACTACTTCAATCCTTATTTCAGAGAAGACCTACCTACAGTATGATGCATGAGGCAAAACCCTTGCCCTGCAGCAGTGCTAGTCAATAAATTTTTCAAGAAGAGAAATTCAAACCCCTGACCCATGTTCCCCAGAAAGATGGCTGTCAGTGTCAAAGTAGATCATCCAGCTCAGTAAGTTTCTTGACATCCTCTAATAGCAGGAAGGTATATAGAGA